TAAAAGACATAGATGCTATGATAATATTAAACTTATATTACGTAAATGTGGCCGGGGTGTAAGGCTGAAAACCTTACCGACATCTGTGAGTCGGTTGTCTAGAGAAAATGTGAGAGCCTCGACGTCTCACAACCCTACGGACCTTCATGGCCTGTTACAAGGATACTTTATAGTACGTAAATATCGTATGAGGTTACAGAACACATTTATCTGGCTCAGAATAGATTTGATGGACGGGCTTACCAGCTCAGTGAGCCTTCAGGTTCCATAGAATCCAGACCTGCTGCATGACTGTCAGTTTCTCAAGAAATACTACTGTGACGTGTATCCACTGCTAGGCAATGACTCATTAAATACAGTCCCGTGAAGCGTGCGCGTGCAACAGAAGGACGTCCATTGCTAGACAACGGAGTAGTGAATAATTCTACCATGTCACAACGCTTCCTTCCAAATTCTTTCAGCTCGTCTTTCATCTATCTTCCTAACATCTCAGGTTAAATATTCTAGCTACTGACAGAGACGTAAAACAAGAGACAAAGAAGTATTTTTGACTCTTTCCCATCTCATTCTGAGTTTTATATCGTTTGCAGTTTTAACGGCGTTTTCGATATAACAACACTGAGTTATACATCATTAAACATGCGAAGTAAGAAGGGTAAATTTGTACCTGTCTTGTTAATTAAGTAATTAAGCACAACGTCATGAAGACGCATGAGCAAATGTGGGTATAGCTCCAGCATTTTTGACCTCAGCGCTGGATAGAGGTGAGTGGTCAGTTTCACGCCTCGACCGGTTTACACCCAAGGAATAAATCCCCGGTAGTCATTTTATAGAAGGCTGTGTGGGCCCCCAGAGCCGGTCTGGACGCTGCTGAGTAGAGAAATCTCTTGCCCCTTCCGGGAATCAAATTCCGGTCGTCTATCTCACAATCCGTCACTATACCAACTGAGCTATCTCGTTAGTTAGTAGAAGAAGACTAAGGAAGGAAATAATTTACTCTTTTTACTGCAGCGCCTTCTTTTCTTCTGTGTGACTAGCTGACTGGTAGCTGCCCAAACACAACATCTACTGGGATCCTCGCATTGTACGTGACACTACAAGCCACTGCGGTCGGTTTTGCTGGGTGCAGCATACCAGAAAATTGAGTTGGCTGAAGCGACTAAACACTGCGCCCGTGCGTCTGGGAAGCGGTCTAGCTCGATAAACGCGAGCAGTGCCCGAGACAGGATACCACAGGACTGTAAGTAGGACTCGGGAAAGCAAATGCAAAGATTAAATTTTGCTTATTATTGTGCTGTAGCGAGACTGGTTCTAAATTAGGCTCGCAGACTGGCTACACTAGGACTAATAACAATACATAGGATCTAACGGGACCCTACTGATGATGTATCTGTTCATCCTCTTCTGTGTTTTACCTGAAGAAGGAAAGAGAACCAGTTTCCGAAAGGTAATACTCATACATTTTAGGATTTTAAATTTCAAAACAATAACAATGAATACATTACGTCAGTAAAAATATGGCATGATAGGCCGTGCCATAGCTCGAGCGGTTAGTCGCAGAATTCCCACAGCGGGGCTCCGGGTTCGAGCCCGGGTCAGGTCATGTGGGATTTGTGGTGAACAAAGTGGCACTAGGGCAGGTTTTCTCGAGCACTTCGGTTTCCCTTGCCAATTCACATTCCAAATATTGCTCCACAATCGTCCATCATCCGGGGCTGGTACAATAGGCCGAACAGTGGCCGCAGTACTAAGTTGACTCAGTCTCACACAATAATAATTCAATTCAATTCAATTCAATTCATGTTTATTTACGTGCAATAACTTAACAGCCCAGCGGCCAATTACAAAGTTAGCACGAGTATATAAGGTACAAAATAATTAAAACAAAATACAAATACGACAAATAAATCTGTGAACNTAATAATAATAATAATAATAATAATAATAATAATATGGCATGATGATCGCAAATTTTATTTGTGGGGATTCCTGTTAGCAATAGACCTAAAGTGGTTTGTTTATCCCATTTTCTGGAACGTCACTCACATACAATACTTATCAGGATGTGAGCAAACACATATCATCTTCGCAAAGCGATGACGGAAAACGTTAATAGAGGCTAATTTACAACAACATCAAACTCTACCACAGTTAGTCGTAAATTCTCCTGAGCCTTTAGGTTCGCATTTGTTAGGCGACTAGGCTCAAGGACGTCACCCTGTTATGCAGTCACTCAGAGGCCCAGCGCAGCGCCACTTACCGCAGTTTCTGCTGCGTAGTTACAATGTTTATTTCGGCATAGCGTCCTGTGCTCGGTGTGGGCAGACAACGCAAGCGCTGTCCCCGTCCACTGAGTAATAAAAAGGCCTGTAGCGTTGCGAAACGTCGAGGCTCCCATATTTCCTAGACAATCGGCTCACGGATGGCGGAGAGGTTGTTAGCCTAACGCGCCGGCCGCACCTTTGCCCCCAGGAAGATTCCTGGTACTCATTTCTGTTAGAGCGACCCCAGGGCCATAGTGTGGCTGGAAGGATTTGGTAAATTGAAAAATACAATGACCTCATCTAGAATCGAACCCGTGACCATCCGGCTTGTAGCATAGTGACTCAATCAACTACGCTACCGCGTGCCCCGTGCTCAGTAATAAAAAGGCAAAGAGGTAAAGTCTTTCCTATCATGAAGGCGCATGTGGGGAGTACATGTATAGATCCTCGCATTCTTGACTTCGGCACTAGTTTGAGGTGAGTGGTCAGCTTTACGTCCCGGCCGCTATACCCTGGGGAAAGTGCACTCCATTGAATAGGAGGACGGATGGGCCCCAGAGCCAAGCTGGACGATATGGAGAAGAAGAGAACAATACCAGTTCCCTATTACAGCCAGAAGTACCTCTTCTTCCCCCAGATTATGTTTGTTTCCTTTACAATATCACATAAAGGTAATTAATTAATTAATTTTCGTGGGTTAGGATAAAACTGAATCCACTAATTGTCCTATTGCACCAGCCCCTGAAGATATATGAGTACGGAGCACACGGTTTAATGAGAATTGGCAGGAGAAACCAAAGTCCTAAGAGGAAATTCGCCCCAGGTTCACTTTGTTCACTAAAATTCCCACCTAAGTTGACCTGGGATGGAACCCGGGCCGCCGCGGTGGGAAGCCGGCGACTAACCGCCTGAGCTATGGCACGGCCTCACATATAGGTAAAGATAAACCTGGGATTGATTAATTAATTAATCATCACGCCATGAACATGTATCTATACGGCAGTGGAATTGTAGCTCCAACTTTCTTAACCTCCGCACTTGATGGAGGTGAAATGTCAGGTTCACGCCTCTGCCGTTTTATCCCCGGTGAAACATCCCCACTACCCATCCTATATGAGGGCTAGACGGGCCCCAAAGCCGATTTAGACCTTATGGAGAAGAAAAAATGTCTTCCCATGTCGGTAATCGAGCTGTACTCCTCGGTGTTCCAGCCCGTAGACTAGTCGCTGTACCGACTGAGCTATCGCATATTGGCTAAATCTTTAACGAAGGCGTGACATTCACGTTAAGAAACTGAAGTAACCCGTTGTAATTAAAAGAAAGCTGGATTTGGAGATTCGAGTCACAACTGAAAAGTCCGCTGCATTTCTTGTGCGCCGCCGTAACAGCCTTGCTATTCTTTCGAAACGGAGTAAATTTTATAATAATTTCGGAGGTGTTCTCTGTTAGGTCCGAGCTCGGAAACAAGGAAACAGAGAGCAAGAGAAAGAGAAGTAATTATATTCATAGTGAGTCTCATGACTTATTCAGAGCCTAGAAGCATAAAAATACAGACATGGGTCCCATGTGCCCCGAATACCAAGAATGACCGTGCTGGCGAAGTCCAGCAAAAATTTACCTGAAACTGAAACAAAATTATTCTCAGTATCCCAGAATTCACACTGTTGGATCCACCTCGCAATTCCTTCTTGAATATTGAGACAAAAATATTGCTTAATAAAATTTCGACCATCCTATAGTTTCTGCTGATGACGCGATTAAAATTTAACTCGATATGGCAACACGGTATGCATACTCCATCCTATGGAATCCATCACGCCATTCCTTGGTGAATATCGAGACTAAAATATTCCTCGATAAAACTTCGACCGACGCATAACATTTTTTTAAGAAGTCGCGATTATGGACAGCAAATACCGCGTTGCCATCGTTTTTCCACCAAAATTATGTTTCCTTCAAATTTTCATCGAGGAATATTTTTTTCGCAGTATTTATCAAAGAAGGAAGCCGGGATATAATTATTGGTATAGCAATGAGTTACGGGGCTGGACAGGTTGGTCGCGCCATAGCTCAAGCGGTTAGTCGATGACTTCCTACCGCGACGGCCCGGGTTCGATCCCGGGTCTGGTCAAGCGGGATTTGTGGTGGCCAAAGTGGCGCTAGGGCAGGTTTTCTCCGAGTACTTCGGTTTCCCCTGCCAATCTTCATTCCACCAATTGGTCCACAATCACCCTCACCTATCATCTGGGGCCGCAGTACAAGGGACTTAGTTCCACCCCCATAGCAATAAAAAAAAAATAATATGGGACTGGACGGCCGGGGTTCGATTTCAGACCTAGGTAAGGAATTTTTCTTCTCCTAATATCGAAAGCAGCTTTGGGGATAGACCCAGCCACAGGAACAATGGGTAGTTGGGGCTCGTTACGTGGAGTTAAAGCGGCGGAGACGTGAAACTGACCACTCTCCTCGAACTATTTCCGAGATCACGAATTGTACAACTATACATCCACTCCCTCATATGTCTACATGGCGTAGTGCTCAATTAATTTAGCACAGGGGCAACTTTACCTGCTACTTCTACTTGTCAAGAAACGACATGACGAAGCCTTTAGGCGCCGCTTTCCGTAGACTATCTAGAGCATGTTTTTCTTCTTTAACAGAAAACTGTAACATAGAGGATAAGATAAAAGTCATTTACAGCACACGAACGTCTTACTGACAACACAACCGACTCGCTCCTTCCGCTGTTCAAATTAGCACAGAGCGCGCCCCCAGGGTTTAGCAGTTCGGCTAACTTAACGCAAATTATGTAAAACCATACTGTGTCGCCAGTATAAAAAGCCAGACGTGCAAGGTCCATGCGTGGTACAGAAAGGGAATTGTTGACAGATGTTCCACTTAGTGTGTAGCTCAGCGGACCCTCAGCTGGCTGTTATCTGCTCACTGCTCGCCAAACCAATGTAAGTACTGAAGGCTAAATATTCGTGACACAAATGCTCGAATCCTTTTAAATAGAAACCTTCAAAACTGCGAGCACTCTGAACACCGAGTCACGCGGCAGCATAGTTGGTTGAGACACTATGCTACAAGCTGGAAGGTCGCGGGTTCGATTCCCGATGAAATCATTGGATTTCTCAATTGACCTAATCCTTCCAGCCGCACTATGGCCCTGGAGTCGACTGAGCCTCTAACAGAAATGAGTACCAGGAATCTTCCTGGGGGGTAAAGGGCGGCCAGCGCATAATGCTGACAAACTCACCGTCGTCTGTGAGCCGAATCTCTAGAAAAATGTGAGAACCTCGACGTCTTACGTCACTATGGCTTCCACGGCCTGTTACAGGGATAGCTTTACATTCACTTTCAATACCAGTTTACCAAAGCGGTAAAATAACATGTGGAAATGATAGTACGTATATTTGCTAGTCTGTTCTGAATAATCGAGTAACTTCTAAACAAAATAATAACTTCGTAAACTCCAATAATTTGAAATATTCGATGGGTATTGGCTATATATTTCGAAAGAGAGGCTGTATACATGTATCCTCCCGTGTTTTTTTTTGCACTGAAATACAAAAACCGACCATGGGCACTAAATATTCAGATTTTCAAAATCAAATGTCATAATTTTAAAGACAATTTTGAAGAATACTTTACCCAAGAAAATGACGTAATTATATATATTATTTATTATTTTTTATTATACTGCAATTGGGTTTTAGCCCGGTGGCAGTAGTACACAATAGGACACAACAGACAAGTAACACACATTACACTAAGTGACAACACGTTCAAACAAAGCACAATACACAAAACACAACAATAAGGACATCCTACCACAATGAATACAAACCAAACCACAATGAATACAAATCAATAAAGTGATATCAAGTAATAAAGTGATATTAGGAAGTGGTCCGACCATATAGCAATCAGCTTATTTCTATGTAAATATCACAAATATTCATAAGTTACAAAAATGTTCTAAATGAAAGCCAAGTACATCTATTCAAAAAAAAGAGCAAGAGGAAAAAGAAAAAAAATATATGCTTCAAGCGAGCAAGAAAAATATATCCCGTCCCAAATAACTTAAATGTGTGTTCTGAAGTGTAACGCCGTGTAATCTGGTAGATCATTACTACCAACATTTCAGACTAGACGACTGCACATCTAAGAGGACAGTAGTAAATTTTGGTATCTGTTTTGACTAGGTTTTACCCTGTCATTATAACTCTGGGTGTTTAATTATTTTTTCACTAGATCTACAGCCCCCCTTGGGCCATAGCCTTTGATTTTCAGTTTCATGATCATTTTACAGACGGTAGGACTCCTTGGACGTGTGATCAACCCGTCACAAGGCCTCTACCTAAACCCAGGGCAACACAAACACAGAATACACAAATGCATATACCAAACATCTATGCCTCGTGTGGGATTCGAACCCACGAACCCGGCTTCCGAGCGAGCAAAGACAGTCGGTTACCGTGTCCGGCGTGTGTTTTAATAGATTTCAATTATTATACCTGCAACAGCCAAAAGATGGCAACAGTGACAAATTCGTACCTTCAGAAATTAAGTCCTGTGAAAATGACCTTGACTTTACTCTCATGGTCACGTTGGCTGCCTTGCGAAACAGTCCTAGAACATTCCTCAAAATACCACCCCAAACATGGATCTCTGATGTTAACCTGGTATATAGTACATTCATATGAGACAATCCTACGTGAAGAAAGCAGTCTTCTGGGATTTGGCACCGTGTATATGTGGTGTTAACCGACGTTTCGGAGTAACGTATCGCCTCCATCTTCAGGGTAGAAGGAAAAATATAAGAAATCCGCAAGCGAAGAGACCGTGAGAACCGGTAAAAGCAGACTGCGATGGAGATGGAGGCGATACGTTACTCCGAAACGTCGGTTAACACCACATATACACGGTGCCAAATCCCAGAAGACTGCTTTCTTCATAGTCACCGCCGTGAAAGCCTCAAATCCTGCGTGATATTTATTTTTCGAATTTGTTCCTAGTGTGTGCCCTTGTGACTTATTATGTGTGTTTGAGACGCATATTTTTCAGCCTAAATGAGTCATCGCCCGTTATAAATAACTGCTTGACATTAGCCTCACCCTGGTTATTAATTTAGCTGCGTAGCTATGTCCAGTTCCGCTTTGTTTTTTCACATTTCTGAGCTACATACTTTGCAATTTACTGCCTGCCGCTACACATGTCGTTAAATGCGAATTCAACTACAAGTGCTCACACTTACATTGCCACTGACTGTTGTCCCGAAGAGCAATATAGAATTTGTCTTTACTCGGAGCAAACATTGGTTAGTTAGTTTGTTTGTTTGTTTTGGGAGAGAACAGGAATGCATATAGGATATTGGTGGGAAAGCCAGAAGGAAAGCGTCCACTGGGAAGACCAAGGAGTAGGTGGGTTGACAATATTAAAATGGATCTTAGAGAGACAGGATGGGATTGTATGAATTGGACTGATCTGGTTCAGGATAGGGAGCAGTGGCGGGCTCTTGTGAACACGGTAATGAACCTTCGGGTTCCATAAATGTTGGGAAATTCTTGAGTAGCTGCACAATTGGCGGCTTCTCAAGAAGGGCTCAGCTCCATGAGTGAGTGAGTGAGTGAGTGAGTGAGTAAGTGAGTTAGACCCTCTACATTCTGCTTGGCTCCATATTTGCCAAAACCAAATTATCACACACATCGTGATGTGCTGTAAAACACTTTTCTTTAGTCTGAATTTAATTCTTCGAATATTTGATACTGTCATATAGCGCTTATTAGTTAAGCAACATTACATCTGCATGACCACAGTATTCGTAACTAATGCCGTAGCCAAGGCCGGTAAGTAAGCTATTGAGTAGCTAACCATTTGTCTCTCTGCAGGCCTTCGGCCTTCGGCCGCTTTTTCAGTCTCTTAATCTATACACATTCGGTAGGAATCCTTGGACGGGGGATCAGCCCGTCTCAAGGCCACTACCTACACACAGAATAAACGAACACAGACATCCATGCCGTTATGGAATTCGAACTCATGATCCCAACGTTCGAGCGGGCGAAAACGGATGATATCTTAGACCGCGCGGCCGCTGTGATCGGCAACTAACTAATCAGTCAACCACAAATACGACGTTGCGGCATCTTCTTGAAGAATGTATAAACGTATTCGTATTTTAAATCAGATAGGTAATATTCTGATACAGATCATGAATTATTCGAGTCAGAAAAGTCCTTATGGTTGTCATTCGAATATTAAGAATTGGAATAGACGCTAGATATATCAAAGTCCAGTGAATAGTGTAAATAAATATTTTAACGTAATATGCATAAAAAATCTATGCTCAGTTCTAAGGAACTTATTGATAATTATTGTAATACATGGCCACAAACGGTATATTTTGGACAGTACTGTATTTGCAGATAAGATAAGAGTAAACTACAGCAGAAGCCGGCTTCGTGCAACTAGTGGCTTATCTAATGATAATGTTTTCCTCCGGCAGATGGAAGGTTATGACATCGTAACTGCCAAAGAGGGAGATAGGGACAGCATCGCCAAATTCTTACGACACAGCTTCTACAGATACGAGCCCCTCAACGTCTGCACTGGAAGTGACCCCGATCGACCGATTAGTGCAATATTGCCACTCCGGGTCCTGTCAGAAGGAAAGTCTCTCCTGGCCGTATCACGAAATGGTCGAAATATCCTCGGAGTGTGCCTGAATGGAGAATTGAAAAGAAATGAAAATGCATACAGCACTGAACAAAATAGATTAACCGATCCAAATTACAGTAAAATTGCCAGTTTCCTTGAGGAAGTTGAAACTAGGGCAGATATATGGAAGAAATCGGATGACCAGAGTGCAATACTGATATATGTACTGGCGACAGACCCAGCATCAGTGGGACGAGGTATCGGACGGGTTCTGATGGAGACAACCCGCGACAGGGCGCGGTGTGAGGGCTACCAGTCGATTTGCATTCTCTGTAGCAGTCACTTCAGTGCGAAAATTGCGCGCGCCATGGATATGGAATGCGTGTATTCTTTGCCTTATTCAGAGTACAAAGATGAGGATGGAAATCCTGTGCTCAAGCCCTCACATCCTCACACAGAAATGACAGTGTTCGTGCAGAAACTGAGCTCACAAACATAATTACAAGACAAGCTAACTAATTACAATGTAATATGAGAGCCACGGTCTGTGAAATCAGTGTAAAAGTGTACTACATTAGAATAGGGCAAATACGTATTATACTACTGAGTTTGTAAAATTCATCTGTATGCTTTGTATTCATTTATGGTAAATAATAATCTATTGCTCCAAATACAACCGAACTGCAGACATCATATAGTGCAACAAATATATTATCACAGCTCATGTTGTGTTGTACTTAAAACTCGTATTTATTTGCCTCGACCGCCTCTGTGGTTTAATGATCAGAGTTCCTGATTACAGATCCAGAAGTCCTGGTTCGATTCCCGGCGCTACCACATTTTCTGAGAAGTAGTGGGTCTGGAACGGAGTCAACTCAGCCTCGTGAGGACAATTGAGGAGCTACTTAAATGGAAAAGTAGCGGCTCCGGTCTAGAAAACCGAAATTAACTGCCGTGGGGATTTGTTGTGCTGACCACGCGACACCCTCTATCCGCAAAAATTGGCACTGACTTCTCCAACAAGCGGCGGTCTCTCGGTCGGTATAGTTCGCTTGCGGACTACAGGCCTCGGAGTTGTTTTTCTGTTTTTTATTTATTTGCGTGATCAGATTTTCTGTTCAGATACACTATATGTTAGTTGTGTACTACACATTTCTGCCTTATGGCCAACATGAGGTATACACATCCACTGTTTTCTGCAATACTCAGCCCTTATATTGGCCAGTGGATATATATATATATATATATATTTTATTGTTGATTTTGACTGTCGCAAATATCAGCGCAGCGAATTGAGAAGGATGTGGAAGTAAGCGGTCGTAGCATTATTTGAGGCAACATATTGATATTTTTCTGGGGGGGGGGGACCACGAAATTTCTCAATCAAGATAGTAGGTGTCCCAGCCGATATATGAACTAAACATTTTTATAATACAATTCAGAAGGGTTAACACTTGAGCTACCTCCCTCGCTGTGACATGACACACATGGCGTTAGTTGTCCCTGGTTCATTTCTATATCATCTAATGCAGTTTTATGCTCTTCTTTGTGTGATCACCTTTCCGTAAGATGAATTCAAACAGTCGGCATAAACGCGTATTGCTCTTTTGATTTTATTCAACTTTTCTAATTGTGTATCTTAATAAAACATGAAAATCGATGCTTATAAGGATATTTCCTGTCTTAAAAAATATAATTTAGCAGTCTGATTACGTCTACACAGAAAAGAGACTGCCTACACGTGTTCGTAACTAAGAAGAAGAATGAGTAGGCTACCGGCAGGAAGACATATTTCGATTCCCGGCAGGGGCAAAAATTTTCTCTTCTTTATAGTCTCTACATCGACACTGCTGCCCTCCCAGCCTCCTATCCAATGGGTTTCGGGGGCTCTATCCCAGGAATAAAGCGGCATGGGCGTTAAGTTGACCACCAAATCCATCTAATGCCCGCGGTCAAGAATGGTGGAGCTGTGTGTACTGACGTGGCAGTCAACACAACAATCTATGAGTAAATAAGACTAATATTAATGTGTTCACATTTTTGTTATATATACCATTACATGTTTCGACCAATGTGATCTTCAGGTGGATTATATCAAGACATCACTCACTCATGGAACTGAGCCCTTCTTGAGAAGCCGCCAATTGTGCAGCTACTCAAGAACTTCCCAGCATTTTATTGAACCCGAAGGTTCATTACCGTATTCACAAGAGCTCTTCAGCGGTCCCTACCCTGAGCGAGATCAATCCAATCCATAGCATCCCAGCCTATCTCTCTGAGATATATTTTAATATAGTCCACCCANTCTGTTTTTTATTTATTTGCGTGATCAGATTTTCTGTTCAGATACACTATATGTTAGTTGTGTACTACACATTTCTGCCTTATGGCCAACATGAGGTATACACATCCACTGTTTTCTGCAATACTCAGCCCTTATATTGGCCAGTGGATATATATATATATATATATATTTTATTGTTGATTTTGACTGTCGCAAATATCAGCGCAGCGAATTGAGAAGGATGTGGAAGTAAGCGGTCGTAGCATTATTTGAGGCAACATATTGATATTTTTCTGGGGGGGGGGGACCACGAAATTTCTCAATCAAGATAGTAGGTGTCCCAGCCGAGATTTGAACTAAACATTTTTATAATACAATTCAGAAGGGTTAACACTTGAGCTACCTCCCTCGCTGTGACATGACACACATGGCGTTAGTTGTCCCTGGTTCATTTCTATATCATCTAATGCAGTTTTATGCTCTTCTTTGTGTGATCACCTTTCCGTAAGATGAATTCAAACAGTCGGCATAAACGCGTATTGCTCTTTTGATTTTATTCAACTTTTCTAATTGTGTATCTTAACAAAACATGAAAATCGATGCTTATAAGGATATTTCCTGTCTTAAAAAATATAATTTAGCAGTCTGATTACGTCTACACAGAAAAGAGACTGCCTACACGTGTTCGTAACTAAGAAGAAGAATGAGTAGGCTACCGGCAGGAAGACATATTTCGATTCCCGGCAGGGGCAAAAATTTTCTCTTCTTTATAGTCTCTACATCGACACTGCTGCCCTCCCAGCCTCCTATCCAATGGGTTTCGGGGGCTCTATCCCAGGAATAAAGCGGCATGGGCGTTAAGTTGACCACCAAATCCATCTAATGCCCGCGGTCAAGAATGGTGGAGCTGTGTGTACTGACGTGGCAGTCAACACAACAATCTATGAGTAAATAAGACTAATATTAATGTGTTCACATTTTTGTTATATATACCATTACATGTTTCGACCAATGTGATCTTCAGGTGGATTATATCAAGACATCACTCACTCATGGAACTGAGCCCTTCTTGAGAAGCCGCCAATTGTGCAGCTACTCAAGAACTTCCCAGCATTTTATTGAACCCGAAGGTTCATTACCGTATTCACAAGAGCTCTTCAGCGGTCCCTACCCTGAGCGAGATCAATCCAATCCATAGCATCCCAGCCTATCTCTCTGAGATATATTTTAATATAGTCCACCCACTTACGCCTTGGTCTTCCCAATGGTCTCCTTCCTTCTGGCTATCCCACTAATATCCTATATGCATTTATCCTCTTCCCATTCGTGCCACATGCTCTGCTCCTCTCATCCTCCATGACTTGATCATTCTAATTATACTTGGAGAAGCGTACAAGTTATGAAGCTTATAATAAGACATACCGCCTATATTCACATAAACCACCTGATGATAACACCTTGATCGAAACATGGAATGGTATTTTTTATTGCTAGTGGGGTGGGACTAAGTCCCTTGTAATGCGGCCACTTCTAGCCTTTTGTACCAGCCCCAGATGAAAGGTGAGGGTGATTGTGGAGCAATTGGTGGAATGAAGATTGGCAGGGGAAACCGAAGAACTCGGAGGTAACCTGCCCCAACGTCACTTTGTCCACCACAAATCCCACTTGACCAGACCCGGGATCAAACCCGGGCCGCCGCGATGGGAAGCCAGCGACTAACCGCTTGAGCTATGGCGCGGCCAGCATGGAACGGTATCTATAATAAAAATAAATATCATTAGCTTTAGTTACTCATAGCCTGTGTTGACGGCCACGGCACTGCCCCTTATGATGCACAACAGGATGAAAATAAGAAAGACGATGGAGCTATAACTCCACTCCCCCATATATCTGCTTTGATGGCAGAGTGTATAATTACATAGTTAAGTACAGGGATATATTTGCATTACTCAGGAGACAATTCCTGACCCAGTGAGGCTCATTTCACTGGAGAGGGCAACACAAAAACTTTAACAAAAACATCTGATTATATAAGAGCGATGAAGTAACATGAGGCTGGAGAAAACCGCGTAATGAGATGCTTCATAACTTGTACTCTTCTCCAAGTATAATTATAATGATCAAGTCAAGAAGGACGAGGTGAGCAGGGCATGTAGCACGAATGGGGGAGAAGAGAAGTGCATATAGGATATTGGTGGGAAAGCCGGAAGGAAGGAGGCCACTGGAAAGACCAAGGTGTAGGTGGGTGGGCAATATTAAAATGCAACTTAGAGAGGTAGGATATGATGGAATGCATTGGATTGATCTGACTCAGGATAGGGACCAGTGGAGGGCTCTTGTGAACACGAAAATGAACTTTAGGATTCCATAAAAACCTGGGAAGTTCTTGAGTAGCTGCATAATTGGTGACTTTTCAAGAAGGGCTCAGCTTCATGAATGAATGTGTGCCCTGATTATATAAAAGTGTAATGTGAACACACTCGCTTGCCAGTGACACACATCTTTATACACATTCAAGGACAGAACTTGGTGTGACGAGGGGTTACTTCTAATATCAAAAGCTGCTATACAATTAATAATGACTGAATTCAGGAGGCTCTTGCAGTTTGATATATTTTTATCTGCTTACCCTTTTCTTTGTGCGTTCTTTTTTGTAACCGGTATCTAAGCAGTAATGTTGTTTTCCTCCAACAGATGGCTGATGGTTATGATATCGTAACCGCCCAAGAAGAAGACATAGGAAGAATTGCCGAATTCTTACGCCGTCATTTCTATTCTAACTCTCCACTTAACTTAGGCATTGGAGCCTCACCTGATCGGAAGATTAGCGAAATGTTTCCTCTACAGTACCTGTCGGAAGGGACATCTCTATTAGCTGTTTCGCGAAATGGTCAACGTATTCTCGGCGCCTGCGTCAACGGAGAAAATAGTCCAGTTGACCGAAAACACACCGAATATTTACAATCGGTCAGTAATGAAACTCACGCTAAAATTAATGAATTCGTGCAGAAAATGGAAGATGATGTTGATATCTGGAAACTTACTGGTGCTAATCGTGCGCTGTATATTCATATACTGGCAGTAGATCCCGCCGCCAGAGGTCAGGGAATTGCAACGACCCTCATGGAGAAAACCCGAGAAGTAGCGCGCTCTAGTGGTTATCCATTGCTACGCATCCTTTGTACCAGTAAATACAGCATCAAAATAGCGCGCAACATGGGCATGCGCAGTGTTTGCACTCTGCCGTTCTCCGAGTATAAAGATGAGAACGGGCACCCTGTATTTACACCACCACAACCCCACACACATGCAGAAATGTTCGTTCTGAAACTTGACACTGATACTTATTAAGCATGATGCAGGTCATCAGTTATCGCCTCTTCCAGAAATTGACCTTCCACCTTGAAAGAGGTTTATGTTCTACAATGACAAGTAACTAAAATATTCTTATATAAAACTGTGTATTAAATACTGCAGTACCTAAACTCTGTGTAAAAATCCAGTCTAAATAAACACTTAAGTATCCCTACGAAATATTTACGCATCTGAAGGATCCTATCTTCTGGGATATAAAGCCGTGTACTCCGGTGTAAGTACACTGACGTTTCGGAAGAACCTATCGCCTCCATCTTAAAAGTTCTATCCCCTGGCATATAAAGATGCATAGTCTAGTGAAAGTCAACTGATGTTTCGGAGGAATAAATGCCTTCCATCTTAAAGGTGGAAGAGTAAGGAAGTAAGAAAGCAGTGTGAAGTAATCTGTCCTTGCTGCCTGATTCATCTTGGTTTCTTGTCTGGCTTAGTCTTCGATCCTAAAGATTAAAGAGATATGTTCCTTCGAAACGTCGGGTAATCTTCACTGGACTACTCGGTGTTATATGTCAGAAGATAGAACTCTTCACAATTCCCGCTGTGACATCAGTTAAGGTAGGCCAATATGGATAAACAGATATAATTTCCTGATAAAACTAAATAATTAACGTGAATTATAACTGATAGAAGGTGTATGCTTACGAGCTTTCCTATTTCTTAGGTTTCGCCTTCCTTCCATGGAGTACATTTGAAATCAACACAAGGATTACAATATGATTCTAAATTATTGTCGGTGTTTCCGTAGCCTATAGTTTTCAAAGCGGAAGCAATAAAATAAAACTGCTTACGGAATATTAAAATATAACTCAAAAGTTTTATTTACAAATGCTCGCAAACCTTTTGAATTACACTTTAGTATTCCATAAGCAGTTTATTTTTTTGTTTGAAAATTATAGGCCACCAAAACTCGGACAGTAATTTAGAATCTCCTTGCATATTTATAAACACTCTTATAACAATGTTATTGTTTCCTGAGATTGGAACATGATGCCATGCAGTCTAGTAGAAATTCACACATGTTTAGGAGGAAACTGTTGCTTCAATCATCAGGGTAAAAGTCAGCCATACGTGGAAGAAAGTGTTGCAGTTATTTGGAGAGGAACAGCAGCAATGGGAGAATTGAACGAACCAATAGAAGCAAGGAGAATGGGAGAATTGAGCGAACCAATAGAAGCAAGAAGAATGGGAGAATTGAGCGAACGAACAGAAGCAAGGAGAAAGGGTGAAATAATCTATGGTTCATGAAAACGACCTTTTGTGAGAATTCTTCAGATTCTTCGATAAATGTGTACCAGACTGCACGGCATCATCATCCTGGAAGGAAGTAATCTTCGTAGTTAACGCAACGAGGACCTCAGCTGTTAGAATCATCTATGAAATAAATCAGAGCTACTTGTAGTTGGTCAGATCAATGGGAGACGCAACAGGCCAACGGGCCGACTGCTCGAAGGAGGTGGAAGGTGGAGGGGGGGGGGGTTCATTAGTGAAGTTTAAATCCCTTGCACGTTTCTGCAGCGCAGAAGCCTCCCGATTATCCGGGGTGGATGGGAAGTGAATTTCCCCTAGTAAACGGACACCCCGGACAATCAGCAATACGTAACTATTTTGATATGCGACATCTCTACAACTATTCTCGTGTTAATAATGACCTTCATGAGAGCGTCATTCTGTACACTGTATACGAGGTAATTTACTTTATTTCGGCCCAAATGGATCATATTCAAGAGGCATATATTTAAAAAAATGCTTTAAAATTTTAATATATAGCATTTTTTCTAATATTACAAAATTACGTTTAGGGAAACGTGTGGGACACGACAGTTATTGTACAGGGCAATTCTAAATTATTGTAGGTGTTTCCGTTTATAGGCCACTGAAACCCAGACAATAATTTAGAATCACTCTGTACATTCTTCTTGCTTATTATCTGTCACTTCTTCTGCAGTCTCTGCAGAAGTTACGCGTGGCAATCAGTTGGCAATGCAACTTGTACAACAATAACAAAAAAAAATTATACTATGCCTTCTGAAGATGGCACATATGGGTCGAAAACATGAAGATAATAAATCAATATACCTATTCTACTGTGGATCCAGAGAAATAGCCGTTGCTAGCGAACGGCTCTAAAATATCATTTGTTTCTAGGCAACGGCCGCGAAACAAACGGGACGACGTCCGTTGCTAGGCAGGAGATTTTTAATAAAAAAGAATAGAGGGCCACTGTTACGGAACGGCTCGGTAAACACGTTCCCGCGGTAACGGATACGAGAATGAACAGTATTGTCTGCTCAGGCTCTGCCGAGGAGTTATAAGGAAGACAACTGGGGCAACTAAGTCAGTTCTCTGCGGAAGTCTGTAAAGAAAAGAGGCAGTTGAAAGGGAGTAGCCGCTCAGGGGGGACTAGCCATTGTTAGAAACCGTTACCAGGCAACTACTAGTGAAGACACTGTGGCTGGAGAAGAGTTAGCCTGATTTTCTAAAGTGTGAAAATAGCGATAGTTTTATAGTTATTTGTAGTTGAGACGTGTAAGTGGTCAATAAATCCAACATCCAATCCGAAACCCCGTCTATAGTCACCCATATACGTGATAGTATGTTATACTAATGTGTTATATTAAAATCACTGTGAATGTGTAGCTTGTGAACTGGGATTTACAAAACAACACACACATTCGTAAGTGTATTTTACTCGAACGCTATTCGCGGGAAGTTTAACACAGTTTCTGAGTAGCTCCGCTGCCTTTCCTACGCATTAAAAAGAGAATCGAACAAAGTAACCGTCTCAGATTTACAAACACATATTCAAACGCGAAATAAAACTCCCTTCGATTGGTACTTTTACATTTTTAAATAATCAATTTGACGTTAAATTCTTCTTTTTTTTTTGACATTGGATACACCAATTAATTTTGCGAATAAACCTCCGGATAATCTGAAACTCGAATAATCCGCCTCCGTTAATCGGAATTTAACTGTATTCTTAAAAGATTGGGAAAGATTATTTTCATTTGTAGGCTACGAGCTCGATGACCAAGGTGTCGGAATTCGAATCACGGTGGGGACAAAAATTTTAATTTCTCCACGTCGTCCAGACCGGCTCTGGGTTCCACTCAACCTCCTATCCAATGGGTACCGGGGGCTTTTCCCACGGGAGAAAGTGGAAGAGTCGTGAAGCTGACCACTCACCTCCATCTAGTGCCAAGGTCAAGAAAATGTGGAGCTATACATCCACTCCCCACACTCCTTCACAGCGTAGTACTTAATTAGTTAAGCGCAAGGGCAGCTTTACCTTTACCGTTGCCTGAGCCAGTTGGCGTAACGATAACGTCAAGTAATCATGATCTGGATTCGCTGGGTTTGAATCCTGGCCGCGACACCGGAAATCCTGACATATTTTCGTGATCTTCTTGTTTCTCTAGACAGTTTCCGTGATAGTTGTTGTCTTTTGTCAGGGCTTTCTCTTCTATATCGTCTCCAATTCATCTCTCGTTCTACCATTCAACGCTAGGTCACATGTCTAACCACTGACATCGCTGTGTTTTATTCGGCAAAAAAAAAATACTCATTCATCGTCCGTAATGTTTAACTGTGTTTGCTCTCTTGTGCTCTGAAGAGCTCTTATCCATTAAAATGAAATGCCTGTTATCTTCACCTGGAATATTATATATTTATTGTAAAATAATCCGAAAAAAAAGAATCTGTACTGTTCATACTTTTTATCTGTACATGCTCACTTGCGCTCTGAGGGGCACTCGTCCATTAAAACGCTACAGTTGATGCCATCACAAGGGTTATGCATTTTATTGCTTCCCAGTGTGTGTAAAGAGATATTTTCCAGATCCTAAACCCTTCCCCGTTTCTACTATTATCTTCCGTCATCCTATCTCTTTCTCCCCACAAAGCCAGAGCCTTTTCTTTATTTTCTTTCCTACTATTTTTCTCTGTTCGTGCGAAAGAGGCGGTGTTAACATGGGATTTACTCCAAAAGAATAGGGAGTAGATCCGAATTTTTGCCCTCATTCTTATATGAGAAACCTCTAAGGGTGAAAATACTATTCGTTTCTCAAATAGCCTCGTCCTTAATGAGCATCATGTCAGGTTTTCTTTCCCTTACTATCCGACATTGGAATTCCTCACGGCACACCTAATCCTCCAGTCTTCTATGCTACCAAGCCTTTTGGAGTTGCTCCAAAGGTTCGTTAGGGCATGCAGGGCGCCAGGTCAACCTGAAAAACGTGCTCGAACTTCCAGACGCAGAACAGGCCACTACAGGAGAAAGACGAAGGAGAATAAAAGGGGAAGAAAGAGCAGAAATTCGAAAAGAGAACATAATTCTATGATGTGAGGCCATGCCAAGGTAAGAAGACCATAAAGAAAGATGTATGTAAAATTCATAAACATTTTTTCCGCATAGAAGGAACTACGGTAGAAGTGATGCGTAATTTCGTAAAAGCGATGTATAACTTGCGAATAATGGTTTGTAGAGGTGCTACCACGCGGCTGCTGTAAAGAACGGGCCTTACTGTCGTATTCTATAATGTCCAATAGCGAAAGGAATAGTTAATTTATCTGTTAAATTTATCTGTGATGAAATAATCAAATTGATTATTTTTATGACAGTAAATATAGAAGTAAAACGATCCCTGTAAACAGGCCGTGGAGGCCCATAGGGTTGTGAGACGTCATGACTTCCACATTTCCTCTAAACCACTGGCTTATAGATGACGTTGAGGTTGTTAGCCTTACGCGTCGGCCGCCCTTTATCCCCAGGAAGATAATTGGTATTCATTTCTGTTAGAGACTGAGTCAACCCCAGGGACACAGTGCGGCTGGAAGGTTTAGATAAATTGAAAAATCAATTAATTTAATAGGGAACAGAACCCGCAGCCTTCCGGCTTTTATGATTTTTATTGCAGTCTTATTAATAAATATTAATTGTCAATTGCTAAAAAGGAAATTTAGATTAATTCTTGGGATAGGAAAATATTAAGAACATTTTATTGACCATCAACTGAGCAAGGGGTTTAGAGAATCACATCTGAACAAGAATTACCATATTTTGTTGCGTCCTGTTCTGTGAATCACTACAGATAATATTTATTATATTCCTATTAATACAACACTATTTTCAGCAGGTGGAATTTGCTATCTAGGTCGACAATTTTAACTAAAACCAGACCTGAATGTGGTACACTTGTATCGAAACTTGTCGCCCTGCACGGCAATCTCCATCTGCTGCGAACAGTGTTGTACTGACAAGAACACAATAAACAGTATCTATAGTAACCGAGAACAGAAGGAACTTTCCAAAACTCATCATCTGGTAGCAGATATTAAAGGAGAAATTTGGAATGGCTGGCACTGTGTGATCAGAATGGGACCAACTTAACTATGACGATTTTGAAATTATGCCAGAAGATAGAAGAAAAGCCAGGAGGCGCGGGCTGATTTGACCGGAAGATGCAGAGAATTATGTACGGGAAGGAAACTGAAGACATGGAGAAAGAAGGAAAATGACAATAAAGAATGGGCGGCTATTATGTAGGCCAAGGTTCGTAGAGGGCTGCAGAGCCAAAGAGTAAGTTTGGATATACAGAATATCCCAGGAGGATTGGTGTGTGTATGTGTGCCTGTGTGTAGAACTGCCTAAAATTGAGCGGGAAATATTCTATCCAACGAGGATGGATTAAACAAGATGACATGGCCTGACTGACTGACTTCATACACGGGCTCAGAGACCAACAATTCGATGGCGTGCCCCACTTGGCAACTTTCGTTGAACCCCCTCACCCACCCAGGTCACCCTTGCTTACCCCCAGAGTATAACATCGTTATACGAATATGCAGTTCGATTGATGAAACGAGGCGAATTGACACGAATGAAACCATTAACAGTGCAGAAACTTCCCTCTATATTGGCCACTTGTCTGAATAGAGAATAGAATAATATCCGAGTTTGCCGCACCGCGGCGCTGCCATGGCTTGTTATTGTTATCATTAGTTCTGAGGAGAACATTGAAAATAGATGACTTTCAATGCTGATGATGGGTCGAATCGTAACAAAATTTACGATGTGAACACACTAACAATTGGTTTAGTTTCGAAAGGGAGGGGAGTGGAAAACAAAAGCCAAACGTCAGCAGGGGGGATTGCAAGACAAAAGCACAATGCTGTCCGCGAAACGACCACACGACTGCATGAATACCTCCATTGTAGCATCTTCACCCCTTCCCCATTGTGAGTATGATCGTGGTTTGTGTTATGGATATCATGCTGGGAATTTACAGCACCCTTGTCTCGAACATGCGTGAATATAAAACAAAGTTTTGGATCAGATAGTATTCTGTAAGTGGCACATTATCAGTATTTATGTGCGAACAACATTTTCATTCCTTTCTATATGAGATACGTTCACTGAAGTTCACTGTAGTTGTGGGAAACACGTACAGACACGTTCAATTTGGATTCAGGAAAAAAAAAATTACATGGAATAAACGTTTATGCCACATTCTTAAAATTCAAAAATATTCGTAAATATTAAATAAACACATGCAAAAGAAACTCCGTGGTTTCAGTCCGCAAGCGAACTATACCGACCGAGCAATCGCCTCTTTTCAGCGAAGTTAATGTCAACTTTAGCGGATAGAGGGTTTCGCGTAGTCAGCGCAACGAATCCCCACGGCCGTTAATTTCGGTTTTCTAGACCGGAGCCTATATTTCCTTGAAATAGCTCCTCAATTATCCTCACAAGGCTGAGCAGACCCCGTTCCAGACTCACTATTTCTCAAAAAAATTGTTAGCGCCAGGAATCGAACCCGGACCTCTGGATCTGTAGTTAGGAACTCTGACCACTAGACCACAGAGGAGGTCGCTGAATTTATATGATTCTGTAACTTGACCAACAGGAGTCTCCTACTTCTCCATATGAATATATTCGTTTTCTTTTCTGACGGATTTTATTTATTTATTCCAAGTGAATACTTTCTATTTCCAGTATTGAATAAAATATTTCATAAATCTAGTAAATTAACAGATTAACTTCATAAATATATTTAGACACTCTTGAACAAGGAAACCGGTGATAAGCTGTAAGTGATGTTCTTTTGAAAGATCCTTATTATATCATGAAGATTTTACGAGAATTTTAAAGCAGTTCTTACGAA